GACTCGGAATCACGATAGGCATAGCTGGTGCCTGAACAGGTGCTGCTGGTGTGTCCACAGCTGGAGCCTGATCCTGAGCTGGGGCAACTGGTGGATCAGCAGGTGCTGCCCCGGCTGCTCTGCCTCTGCCAAGACCACGACCGCGTCCACGGCCTCTGGCGGCCTCAATAGGTGGTACTGGTGGTCGCCGCCACGTCCGGTAGCTCGTGTCCTCAACATCTGTGAGAGAATAGAATAATAGATGTTTAGTTCTCGGTTCAACAAAGTCGCATGACAAGAATTTCAAGAATGTGAAGTTTTCCTAAGGGTTCTGCAGCCTCCCGAGGATATGTACAGACGTCTCCGTACCGATCCACGAGACTCTACTAAACCGGCTCATGACTCGCGAGACCAAATAACCTAGGCTCTGATACCAACTTGTCACGACCCCAACCCCGGTCGTGATGGCGCCCAACACACTGCTAGGCAAGGCGGACCAATTTAATAACCTTAACCATTTTTATCCAGTTTATGAATTAATTAACACAGATAAATTACTAAGTCATAATACTGAAATTCTGAAATAGAGCTAAAACATGCAAAAATCCCAAATATCAAAAATACTACACAACCCGAAGAATCCGGTGTCATGAGTCTGAGCCTCTAATACATGAGTATCAACCTACTACATATCGTTCTAAAGAAATGCGGAAATAAAGCAATAAGATAGAAGGGAAGATCAGGACTGCGAACGTCATGCAGCTACCTTGATACTCCCGGATATGCTACTCGGCAGAGAAGTCCTCACTCAGCCTCAGATGTACCTGGATCTGCACGCAAGGTGCAGGGAGTAATATGAGTACTCCGACCCAGTGAGTAATAAACATAAATAAAGGCTGAGAATAAGAAATCCTGAATAGGCACAAAGTAATTCTATAAATACAGCAATTTAAACCAAGTAGTATAAAGTCAATAAACCAATAAAACAATTATGGAAATACTACAACAGATAACTAGTAAATGATAGTCAAATATGAAATGCAACACATAGTCCGGTACTCTCTAGTACCCGCTGCGGCGTGCAGCCTGCTCCATTTATTTATCGTCGACGGCACTCACTGGGGGTGTGCAGACTCCGGGAGGGGCCCCTTACGGCCCAAGCGCAATAATAAGCCATCTCGTGGCATCAACTAGGCCCACGGCCTCATATCAATATCAATACAATACCGCTGCGGCGCGCAGCCCGATCCCATACTCAGTCCAGAATCACATAAGCCCCTCGGGCACAGTAATATAGAAATATTCAGCCCAAACTTCATGAAAAATATTAATTAAGTTTCAAGTTTGAGAAAAGTTGGCTGAGTTTGCAAAATAGTATTAATTACTAGAACTGAGTTCAATAGTATGTAAAAATGGTAAGAAACCAATAATAGAAATCCCTGAAGGATTCAATCAGTTGGCACAAAGCCCAAATATAGCAATCAGCTCAACTTATAATGATAATAAGTAAATTTCAGTCAAATACGCAGTATACTCATCTACCGGGACGGACCAAGTCACAATCCCCAACGGTGCTCTATCCCACGCTCGCTATCCGGCGTGCAAGTAACCTCAATATAGCACTACGATGTGCAAACCTGGGGTTCAAACCCTCAGGACATCATTTACATCTATTACTCACCTCAAGCCGGCCAAAATCCTAGCTCGCTATGCCCTTGCCTCTCAAATCGACCTCCTCGCGCGTCGAATCTGACCAAAACCACAACGAATACTTCACAATATGCCAATGGAACAATACCCAATCGAAAACAATCGAAAAATAGCAAAAATCTCGAAATTAGCAAAACTCGAGCCCCGGGCCCACTTCTCAAAAATCAGAAAACTTTACATCAACGGGTTCCTTATCTCGCCATCAACGGGTTCCTTATCTCGCCACGAGTCCATACATACCAAAAACTCCCAAATCCGAGCTCAAATGGGCCATCAAAACCAAATTTGAAATGTCAAATTTCAAGCCCTAGTTCTTCCCCCTTTTTGCTAAGTTTTCATGAATTTCTAGGTTGATTATACAATTAAATCATGTTTTTAGTTCATAGAACTCACCTCCAATCAATCCCAGTCGAAACCCTCTTCAATTCCCGTCCAAAAGCTCTCAAGGATGCTCAACAATGGTGAAAATAAGACTTAGTTCGCAGATGAAATGTTAATAAAAACCTTTCTGCCCAGCTGATATTTACTCTATGCGAACGCGAGAAGGCCCTCGCGTTCGCGATCCACAAAGTTTCCACTTACCACACTTACCCTTTGCGAACGCGTCCCTCAACCGCGAACGCGGAGATCAACTTATCACTCGACCTCACTCCTTATACGCGAACGCTGGGCTTCTCATGCGAACGCGATGCATAACTTCCTAACCTTCCGCATTCGCGAGGTCTCAAACGGGAACACGAAGGCCTAAATCCTGGCCCTCAAATTTTCTTCAACGCGTTCGTGACTCACCCTACGCGAACGCGATGGGTTAATTTCTGCAACACTGAACTCCAAAAATCTGCAACTCCAAAACTTCAAAAATGGTCCGATTGACCATCCGAAACTTACCCGAGGCCCCCGGGACCTCAACCAAAAGCACCAACACATACTAAAACATCACCCAAACTTGTTCCAATCATAAAAACACCTCAAACAACACTAAAACCATCATTTCTCATCGAATTCAAGCCTAAGTTCTTCAAAAACTTCCGAAATACGCATTCGATCAAAAACCCAACCAAATCACCTCCGAATGACCTGAAATTTTGCGCACACATCCCAAATCACATAACGAAGCTATAGCAACTCTCGGAATTCCATTCCACCCTCAGATCAAAATCTCACCTATCAACCGGAATTCGCCAAAATACTAACTTCGCCAATTCAAGCCTAATTCTACACCGAACCTCCAAAAACACTTCCGATCACACTCCTAAGTCACAAATCATCCCCCGAAGCTAACCGAACCATTGGAAATCATATCCGTGCCTTCTAACGCATAAGTCAACATCCGGTTGACTTTTCCAAAACAAACATTCCTTAAAGAGACTAAGTGTCTCATTTCCTTCTAAAACCAATCCAAATGAACTCGTTCACACAAGACTCTTATAATGAAGCATAAAGAAGCAGAAAATAGGGAAAACGGGGTGGTAACTCACGTGACGACGGGTCGGGTCGTCACAACAATTTATACACAGTAGACTGTCACTATACAAAATATATACAAAATAGACTGTCACTATACAAAAAATATACTACAAAATAGACTGTCCCTATACAAAAAAATATTCAAAATAGACATTTTGACTATTAGATGCAATATGTTTGGGCCGGAGGAATATTTCATGTCAATGGGGAAAAAATATGGCTATTAAAATTTTGAGGGACTATAGAGGGTCATTTTCCCCTGAATTTGGGTCTATAAAGCTATGGGTAGACCCAATATCATTTAGGACCACCGTTATTTGTTTCTTAATAAGACCAGCAATTCGAATGGTAGTTGGAGCATGGTTGAGGCCCAAGATAGCATTTAATGACACCTCAGCTTATTCTGGCTCTTTTACCCCTTCAATCATCTCACTTGTTGCTTCCATTTCTTTACTAGTGGTCCCCTCTAACCCCTCCATTGCATTCAACATTTTTGCCTTACATTGATGACCTGGATGGTACGTATGGTGGCACTTATAACAAAGGTTCATATCTCGCAATTGATCAATTGTTGGTTTTGGGCCAAGAGTTTTAGTAAGGATGTTTGGAACTTTATTTGGCGTGAAATTAGGCATGGGCTGGGATTTATAGGCGGAGGTGTAGTGATTGGGCTTAGAAACATGAGCGTATGATTTTTCACCTGAGCATTCAAGGATTGTTCATACAATTTTGCCATATTGTATGCTGCGACTAAGGACTTGGGATTTGCCACTTTAACCAATGGTCCTATCTCATCTTTGAGACCCCCGCCACAAAATACAGTTCGATAAACTGTGGTCGCACCACTTGTACCCTGCAACGTAGGTCTTCAAACCTTTTTTGATAGCTTTCTACATCCGCCCACTGTTGAATCCGATTAAAAATTGTAACAACATCAAGAGGTATCGTCCATCATACCTTTCACAGGTATCCAAACAAAATTATTTCCAAGAAATCATTCCACCATGGTCAATACCACAGGAGTCAAACAAACAGTCAAACTTATCTTTTACACCGATTGCCATGCATGTCATTTTAGCAGCCTCAGGCACCTAGTAATAATCGAAGTAGTATTCACAGCGGCAAATCCAACCCGTAACATTTTTCTCATCAAATTGGGGAAAATCCAGCTTAGCCTTAAGAAAGCGGAGATTGTGAGGAATGAGGTCTTGTTGGGAAAATAAAGTAGGAAATGTGTGGTTAGCGTAGCAGCGCACGTGGGAATAAAAAACAAGGGCTTGTGAAGTATAGATGGGAATTTGGGAGGTAGTTGGTATGTGAGAGGAAAATGGGTTAGTGCTCATATAAGAGGGCTGGTGGATTGAAGTGTGAAATGAGGGTATAGGGCTACATTAGGTGTTTGTGTTTCAGTTATAGACAGTGTTGCCAAAGGGGTGCTTAAGCTCTGAAGCGAAGCTCAAAACATGTTGAGCGCTTCGCCTCGTTTAGCGGGAGCTCCACTGTCATCAGTAAGGCTCTACGACATACTTTTCCTTGCCAATAAGTGTAATCCTAAAGAGGCGACACTAAACAATTGATATTTCAGTTTATCGTAATTCCTTTTCAATTTTTATTTTTGAGAATGATAACAATTTATAAATATAAAATAGCACAAAGTTTGTGCTGCTAAAAGTGATAGAGAACATCCCTAAAGAAGTAAAAGAATCCCCCACTACAAAAATTTACAAGGATTCTATGATATTATGTATGGAGTCACTATCATTTATAGGGCATTCTTTACACCAAAAAAGAAAAAAGTACTAACCAGTTCATTTTTATTTTTCTGAATGGAGTTGCTAACATCCTCAAAACATCTGGAGTTCCTCTCCTTTCAGACTGTCCACCAAATGCTTGCTGGGATCTTCTGCCACCATTTCTTCTGTCTGACTCCACCAGTCCCACCAGCCCAGTATCTCAAGAGGTCGGATGAATCTTTTGGCATGACCCAGTTCATTCTGAAAATACTTAGAAGCATGTTCCACAATTGAGAGGTAACAACACAGTGAAGAAACTAGTGGGAGTTGTCTTCTGCTTCCCTTCCACAGAGATAGCATTTGGAGGTCAGTTGATATCCCCTTCTCTTAAGTTTTTCATCAGTCAAGCTTTTCTGGCCACCAACTATACAAATCATAGCACCTTTTGTGGGTGCATTTACCTTCCAAATTTGTTTCCAAGGCCAACTCCTATCAGAATGAGCATTGCCCATTAGGCTTTTGTAAGCAGATTTCATCGAGAAATATCTGGTGCTTGACCCCTTCCATACCAAAGTGTCCTCGCAATCTGAGAGGCCTGGCAGTTGGTCATTTGGTTTATCAATGTAGCAACTCTATCCACTTCCCAATCATTCAACAATCTTCGAAAGTTCAAATTACAGCCTTGTTGTCCCCTTATTTCTTCCACCTTGGCATGGGGATTTGAAGCTAACAAGTATAGATCAGGCTAGTGGTCTTTTAGAGGACCATGTCCTATCCAGTTGTTATCCCAAAAAGCAGCCTTCCTACCATTTCCTAGCTTGACTTTAGTATTCTAGAAGAAACTAGGCCACAAGTTCCTAATTGCCTTCCAGTTACTAACCCTATAAGAGGAAGTAACTCTCTTAGTGCACCATTGGGAGTCTTGACCACATTTTGCTTCTATTACTTTTCTCCATAAAGCCTGTTGCTCATGGTTGTATCTCTAGAGCCACTTAAATAGTAAGCTTCTATTATGGAGTCTCAGATTTCTGATGCCCAAGCCACCACTAACTTTTCTTGAAATGACATTCTTCCACTTCACTAGGTGAAAAGCTTTTGTTTCCTTGTTACCTTGCCAGATAAAATTTCTTCTAATAATATCCGTTCTATTTTCCACCTTAACTAGTAAAGGGAACAGAGACATCACATATGTTGGTATAGAGTCTAACACACTGTTTATTACCACCACTCTGCCACCAAGCGGAAGATATTGAGTTTTCCGCTTGGCCAATCTCTTTTCACTTCTTTCAATTACCCCATCACATATCTATAATGCTTTATTTTTATCCCCCAAAGTCATACCCGGGTAGGTAGTTGGAAGGCTGCCAATTTCACAAGCCAGAGTTCCAGCTAATATGTGAATATGAGGCACCACATTAATGGGGAAGAGCTGACTTTTCGTCCAATTGACATGGAGCCCAGAAGTTGCTTCAAACATAGTTAAGATCAGTATGATGTGCCTCAGTTGATCGACCTCAGCGTCATGCAAAATCAAAGAGTCATCTGCGTATAGCAAATGGAAAATATCCATCACACAATCAGGTTTGTTGGATCCCTTGAACCCCTTAATCCAACCATTTGCCTTTGCCCTTTTTATCATACAATTTAGACCTTCCATGACCAAGATAAACAAAAAGGTGGAGAGAGGGTCACCTTGCCTAAGACCTCTCTGCGAGGGAAAGAAACCTTCAGGTGAGCCATTAATCAAAATAGAAAACCTGACAGAGCTAATGCAGAACAGTATCCATTTCAGCCATTTTCTCCCGAATCCCATGTCCTTCATTATTTTGATTAGAAAGTTCCAATTGACATGATAAAAAGCCTTCTCTAAATCAAGTTTACATAGGATTTCAAGTTTTTGCCCCTACTGTCTAGAATCCACACATTCATTTGCTATTAGAGTTGCATCTACAATCTGCCTTTCTTTGATAATGCCATTTGTTGTTCATCTACTAGCTTGTTCATTACAGACTTGAGCCTTTCTGTTAACATCTTAGAAATAATTTTGTACACCCTCCCAATTAGGCTGATAGGTCTGAAGTCCCTCAGTTCCTTGGCTCCTTTCTTCTTTGGAATTAGTGCAATGTAAGTTGCATTAATGCTTTTTTCAAAGAATTCCTTTGAATGAAAATTCTCAATAGTTTTCATGATGTCTTCCTTTACTACTGCCAACATTTCTGAAAGAATCCCATAGAGTAGCCATCAGGCCCTGGTGCCTTCTCAGAGGCACAAATTCTAATTGCAGCCATCACTCCCTCTTCCTCAAAAGGTCTTTGTAAACATATAGCCTCCTCATCAGTCAATTTTAGGCAATCAAGATAGTTGAAATCTGGTCTCCATATCTCAGTTTCAGTGTAGAGGTTGGTGTAATACTGCATAATTTCATCTTTGATAATCTCAGTGTCAGCAACCTGCTCTCCATTGATCTCAAGTTTGTCCAAGTTGTTGGCTTTCTTATGTGAATTTGCCATTCTGTGGAAGAATCTTGTGTTCCTATCTCCCTCTTTTAGCCATTGTATTCTGGACCCTTGCCTCCAAGCAATCTCCTCAAACTTTGACATCTCCTCAAATTCCATCTCTAAGCTTATCTTGAGAACAAGTTCATCTTCAGTCAAGTTCCTCTGCTCCTATAATCTGTCTAGGTTTTGAACTTCATTCAAGATTTCTATTTTCCGGTTCTCCAAACTGCCATAGTTGTTAAGATTCCACTCTTTTAGTTTCTCTTTCAACATTTTTAGCTTAACTACTAAAGTGTAGTTTGGTGCACCTGTGACATCAAAAGAGCTCCACCATCCATTAACCATCTTAGAGAAACTTTCTACTTCCAGCCACCAGTTTTTGAATTTGAAGTAAGATTTTTTCTTCTCTCATTCTCCATATTGCAGCAGAATAGGTAGATGATCATAGTCTAGCCTAGGCAATAAGGACTGATTGATGTTGCTAAGTTCTTCCTCCCATTTAGTCGATATCAAGAATATATCTATTTTGACGCTGTAATATGATTGTATCCTTTGTACCATGTATAAATACATCCTGCCAGTGGAAGATCAATCAGTTCCAATTCCCCTATCAAGTCTGAGAACTCCTGCATAGCATGATTTCATCTCCCCTTACTTCTTCTTTCTTATGTGTATCTGGTGGTGTTAAAATCTCCACAAACCACCCATGGACCCTTGCATATCCCCTTGAAAGCTGCTAATTCCCACCAATGATCTTGCCTTTCTTTGTTGCTATTTGATCTGTACACCCCTGTGATAAACCATGTAAAGTTTTGAGAAACAGAGGATAGTTTGCAAGATATGCTCTGCGTGCCGTAACCTTCTACTGACCCTTCCCAAACCCTCTTGTTCCACAGTAGTAAAATCCCCCCACTCTCTCGTTGACTCTATAAATGCCCAATCGATCCATCATCTTCCCCATAATTGTTTAACTTCCGTTGTTATGTCCCCTTCCAACTTTGTCTCTTGTAAGCAATAATTCCATTTATGAACAAGTGCTTTCACAACTCTTCTTTTTCTCCTCTTATTCAATCCCCTAACATTCCATGATATCATTTTGACCTTCATTGGGTAACAATGATGTTGTTTTTCCCCCTGCTCCTCGATCCACTCTCCTTGAACTTCATCCCAATTTCCAGGTTCTTAACTTCTCTATTGATTTTTGGCTTTGGTGTATCACATATTGTAAGTGTCTCCTCTACTCTGTTATGCAGTCTTCTTTTGTCAATTTTCATGAATAGAGAGAGAGCCTCCCATTCGCAGCCATGGAAATCAACCCCGTATTGTTTGCTCATCTTGATAACGTTCTTATGTACCCATGAGGATGCATCTTCTTCAGCCATCTGATTTTGTATGTCTAAAGGTATGACCTCTTCTCCCTCCCAACATTGTGTGCCATCATACAGTAGAGGCTGGTATTGATCTTGAGGGAGGCCCAATAATATCAAGACCTACTGTGTTTCCTCCAAGCGAAGAAGTTTTCCCCATTTCAACAGATGGTGTGATACAACTGTCCCTTTTTTGAATTATAGGAGGCTTTTTGGCCTCCATGTGCTTTGCCCTGTCAGTCCCAGCTACAACAGACCTAAAGTGACCTTTTAAGGTCTTTGTGCCATCAACATCATTCATCAATATCCGCTGGGTTTTAACTGCCACCGGATGTTTAGTCCGTAGCGGCATTTGAAAGATTAAGTCGTCATTCTCTACCTCCACTTCCTTCGGAATAATTGCTAGTGGCCTTTTGACTTTGATACGAGCCCAACGGAGGTGATTTTTTAGTTCTGTTTGCTCTTCGGTCTTGATCAAACCTTGGCATTTGTCACCAATGGCTTTCATGGTGTTAGCAGACCAGAGATGTAGAGGAAGGCGGAGTATTTTGACCCAAACCCAAGCAGGCTTAATTTCTACTGGAACACAAGCCGCCGTTGGAGTCCACCACTTGAGATTCAATATTGCTTTCCCCCATCTCCACATGCCTTGTAATACTTGTTCTGCCATTCATCTGGTTGGAAACTCGAACAGGAACTGACAATGACATCCATTCAACTCGTATACCCCAATAGCATTGCTCCACTTGTTGCTGATCCATTTCGTCAAGCTCCTTGGAGAATCTACCAGCCACACACCTGCTCAAGAGTTTATCATCCGAGATTTTTGTCCCCTGTATTTTAATAATGCCCTTCTCAATTTGATTGATCATTTATTTTGGACCATTTGCATTCACGAGTTGTATGAGCATAGGTGTTTTGTAATAAAGGCATCAGTGGATCTGTAATAACTGCTCTTCTATTCATGAAATGAAATTCTTTATTTTAATAACTAGCTATCCCCATCCCACATTAAAGGCCTTTTCTAGGATAATAATGACTGATGGGTTAGTTCCATGCACTGTTGTATTTTTGTGTGCAATAAAAGGTGGTGATATTGTCTCTGATGTTCCATCTTTCCCCTTCTCCTTGACGCTTTCTACACCACTTCACTAACCCATGAAAGTGCCTTCCCACTTAAGGTCAGTCTTCTAAGTAGCTGGTTTCTTCTCTCCACCCATTCAAACCAAGTTTCTGTGTTGTTTGATTCTCTGTGATGTCATATGTTTTATCCCCCGCCCTGAAATAAATTATGTTCTCCATAATGCTATTATAAAGTAGTTTTTACTCAATCACATTGTCCATATATTTGTTTTTCACACTTATAATTATTAGCCTTGGACTACACATACATATTTATATTTTGTCTCTATTTGTGCCTTTCTTTCGCTTTATTTGCGTTTTTTGTGCTTAAAGCTCCAACAGACCTTGAAGCTTTTTTGCGCTTTTCGCCTTTGATAAAACTGGTTATAGAGAAAGGAATGTAGGTACCAAATGTCAGGGGGGATGACTGAAAATATGTAGTGGTTATGGGCCCGCTAGTTGGAGAAAACAGGTGAAAGGTCTAGAAGAGCTGAGTGAAGCGGGAATGGTAAAATTAATGGCAGTTGTAAATGTGTGAGAAAAATAGGGATTCATTGGGCCAGCAGAGAAGGTTTCACTGAAGGTAGGGGTTGTTCCATAATGGGACACACCAAGGTTTAAATTAGATAAAATAAGACCACGACTTATATTTGGGAAATTTGGGGTTACTGTATCAGAGTTGGAATAAACTAGAGTTACTGGTGAAGCTGCTTACCGTAACATGCCACCCACAAACGACTGGCCTGATTCCACATAAAAGCTGCCTTGAGACATTCCCAGCACAGAAGGATCCTTCGGATTCATGTCCAAGACAAAGTTTTCCACTCGTTGAGTATACTCAACGTTCCTTCTATGTATTTCCTCAATTTGTTCCATACGCTTAGTAGAGGCCTCCATAAACGTCTGAAGCTGCAGCTTCAAATTTGATGAAGCATCGCTATCACCACTAGATTCAGGCGGAGGGTTCATCGTTGGTAACAAGACCAATGCTCTGATACCAAAATATAGCGTTTAAGCTACCAATTTGGATTAAGGGAGCTAAGAACTAATAAAAGAAAGAAAATGAAGAATAAACGATAAAATTCTTAATTCATCAGATGAGAATTTACAATGAAGATGCACTACCTAAATACTAAAGGACAAGCTTGGCTACAATTATCCATATAACAACCTAGTACTAATGAGGACACCAATTCTCAATTGTGTCCTTAGCCATTAGGGAATAAGATAAAGAACTAGTTTATGGACTTAATATTAATGGACTAAAGAAACTAGACTATTGAGATGTCTACTCTGGCCCAAGCGAATAGAAATGACCCCGCCCAGCGCTGAAAATCAAATGTCACAATTACAATTCACGACATCCAGAGGAAGTAACAAAAATCTCAGTCAAGTAACAAAAATCAATTGCCATTGAGGAAAAGTTGTGTCACGGAAACTGAACTTAACTCCCAAAAGACTTTGAGCACTACTAAGATTAATAAACATAGAACATCAGACAAGAAGTTTATTCATGCTGAAAATTATCCACAAGCTGATCATTTGTGGTGAACATTTATATAGATAGTTGTACCTGGCTAGTTGCCATGAATGAACCATATAAAAGAAAAGAAAACAAATCAGTACTTGATCCATTATGATGAACAAAAAATGCAACATCCTGCATTTGCCTTTCACGGAGTAGAGGATATCAGAAAATTCAGTCAATGCATTCTCAACTGCCTCACTTCAAATCTGCACTACTTGATCAATGTGCCTAGGTTCAAGTTTGCAGCCTCACATGAAAACTGCAGTGTAGTATAGAAAACACGCACACTAGGTGGCAGGGCGGCACAACGAATTTCTTGGCTTAAAGCCAAAATACATTAAAAGGCCCTTAAAGTTTCATAAAATCCATATGATAATGAGACAAAAGAAACCCACATGATCTGGTGGTAAAAGCGCAACAATTGACGTATAGGTTAGGCTCGTATCACATTTTCGAACTCTCCCGTTAACAAAAATGATATTTAAGTGGAAAAAGGTAGAAGGATAGGATCACTATCCATCAAGTTCAAATCTTGCGCCAATGACTTCGAGAATTTCTTAGTTAAAGAAAATGAGACACAAAAGAATTTGCATTCTGATGTATGGATAAATATATGACAAAAGAAATAGCTAATTCAGAGAATTTGAAAGAGTGCACATAGAGGAAGAAAAACTAGAATTGATGAGAAGGTAAAATATACTATTTAATTTAATGAGAGAAAATTTGTCGCTATTTACTCACTCAACCTGTCAACCATACAACCTCAATCAAATTTTAAAAATATAAAAAAATTTAATTTTTTTTAATTAATAACAATGGTATAATTTAAATGTTATATATGATACTAATATACTCCATCCGTTTCAATTTGTTTGAACCTATTTGACTGTGCACGAAGTTTAAGAGAAAAAAGACTTTTGAAACTAGTGGTCTAAAATAATCCATAGAAATTTGTATGACCATAAATCATCTTATTAAGGATAAAAAAGGATTTTAACGTTAAATTAATTTCAAATTTAGAAAGGGTTTGCTCTTTTTAAAACTGACTAAAAAGGAAATATTCATTCTTTTCTAAACGGAGGGAGCAGTATTTTGCAATTTTGGGACTCTTAATATTTGGGGGGTTTAAGGCAAGGGCTTCATCTGCCTTACCGTAGAGCCACCCTTGCTAGGTGGTTTCCAATCCAACCACTAAAACAATGCTTTCGAATTACAGTACAATTTGGGGGTTGGGGGGGTTGATGATGTGGTTACCTAACCCAGAAACTTAGTAACAAGAAGCAATGAAAGGAAAGAGACCAAAATTTATAGTTTTTGCCTTATAATGGTATGTATGAGAGCTTCGTAAATCTTCCTATGATGACAGTGCAGTTGTTTAGGCCAGCTAGGGGTGTTCATAAAAACCCGAAAAATCAAACCAAATCGATCAAAAAAAACGATACTGTTTGGTTTGGTTTGGTTTTGGTTTTGGTTTTGAATTTTAAAATCCGATAATTTAGTTTGGTTTTGGTTTTAATCAGAAAAAAATCGAACCAAACTGACTATAGGAGTAGCTATTTCAAATTTATTATTAAACCTATATATATGTATATTGTTACACAAAGTTTCAAAAAATTTATGGTAAATGTTAATAGTTTGCACTTTTAATATAGTTCTTTACCTTTACATTCTAGTTTGATTGGTAGTTTTCTTTTGTTTAGTGTAAGAATCCATTTCGTGTTAAAAATAACATATTTTTAATTGAGTCCTTAAATTATTCATCACTATTTGATTCAATTATCATCAATATATGTTGGTAAATAATAAATTTCTCAAAGGGCAATTGATTTGATAGTGTTACATTGAAAATGTGGTCGCCTGAATATGTGTTTGGTAGTGTATGTCTTATATTTAAGAAAAAACCGACAAATAACCGAAAAACCGACATAAACCGACTTAATTGGTTTGATTTGGTTCTAATATTTGAAAAACCGACTTAATTGATTTGGTTTCTTTTTAGGGAAAAACGATCCAAACCGAAAACACCCCTAAGGCCAGCTAAGGCTTTTGTAACTGAATAATAATATAGGTTGACCCAACAAATATGAAAATGGATTAAACATCAATAATAAATTTATTATTGAATCTACAGTTATATTTCACCTCACTCATAAATAGATTGGTAAAATCATTTCAATGTCACTTTTGATAATTTTAAAATATACATTCAATTCCACGAGAGTAATCAGTGGAAGATAAGTGTTGCAGTATTGACAAACCTTAGAAAGCAGTAAATCATACAAGTTTGTTTTGTCATTATACCTCACGATAGCTTAAGCTTTAAGTCTTACATCATACATGAGAAAAGTTACTTAATAACCACACCTCAAATTGGCTAATAATTTTCCTATTGCATAGTAATTTGTCAATCTTGATCGCCATGATGTCCAATGTAGTTGATGACGGAGTCGAATAAGATAGTTTAGAACAAAGTAGAAGCTTCATTCATTCAATGAGAAGCACGTTGAGCAGCAGTTTTCATACACACAAAGGATATATGCCAACATGCAAGATGTCCGCTAAACTTGAATAACTAGCAAATCAAATCAAATTCTGATAGGAGTAGTGTATATAGATAGCATTCGTTAACCAGAACAACATCGTAAGATACGGAGATAATGCAACAACCTTACATAGAACCCAACTCAATTAGAAATCACATATATCGAACATAAAGAATGCAAGTTCCAACAAACCAATATACGTGGTCGGAGAGGGAAAGAGATGATTGACAAAACAAATGACTCAGCTGCACTTTACTCCGCCAAAAGATCAATGATTATCCAACATCCTATTTGACAAACACCCAAAAGAAAACGAAGTTTATTGTAAGACCACCCTCCATCCCATTATGGATTTCACTTGAACTAATAACTTCAACCAATAAAAAACCTAATCATCACGAAACTTTAAAAGATCACATGTATATTGGAATTTCCTGTAAATTGACCAAAAGCCAAGAATGTAAGATATTCATCTCACACCTTGTAAGCTTCACAAGTTGCACTAACATTCAAATACAGAAAACTAACAAACACTACATTCAAGATCACATTAATAAAAGCTTCACTTCACTCTTCAGTGCAGAAATGCATATACAGCAGTAGAAATATAAACCACAAGAGCAGAGGTGACCAGAATGATCAAGGCAGTGACAGCATGAATTGCAGATTTACTTCCACAAGACAACAACCCAAGCCGAATCTCAATCACATTGACCATTGAAAGCATCAAGAACAAACATCCCATTACAGATCCAACAGCAGAGCCCAACATCCCAAGCCTCAGCACTTTCGGATTAATGTGAGCCTTAAAAGCCTCATCAACATCTTTGCTATTCAAGAGATTAATCGCCAATTTAAGGCCCTGTGCAACAAGTGAAGAGAAGAGAAAAAAGCTGAATGAGACAACCTCAAATACCAACAATTTTCTGACCACTTCAATGCCAGCATCACAAGCTGTACGGTCCTCGAGACTTTTCTGGCCAGGTGTGGTTAAAGAAAGACCCACAAAGACTGCAATGGTGAAAAGTGAGTTCACATTCACTAGCCCGTCTAAAGCAGTGACGTGGACACTGGTTGTTGCAGCTGAATTAGAAGATGACGGGGTTAAGGTAGCTCTTCTTGGTTGTGGGGAGAAGTATTCTTTTGGGTATGTCTCAGATCTGCAAAAATTTCAAGAAAAAACATATAAAACCAACAATATCAAGAAATGAATGAACAAAAACAGAGACATAATTCACAAATGTAGATAGGGAGGTGAAATATTACTCTTCCATGATCTAAAGTTGGATTTTTTAGCAGGTTTCAAGAGAAATCAAGAGCTGCTGCCGCTGCTTCTGGTGATATATAGTTTGCTTGTAATATTGGAGTTTCAATTTCCTGGAGTAGAAGGGAAAGTTGTTGGAAAATAGTAATGGAAAGAAATGCTTTGCTGCCTTTGCTCCTTGGTTCACTACTTTGCTTTTGGGGTCTTTTGGATTGTTGTTGCGCTATTTTTGGGTTTGGAGTCGGGAGTGGGTGAGAACGGAGACAGAGATTGGAAAAATTGAAACGGACACGAAAACCAAAATGGTCAATTTCTAACCATTATGTCCTTACAGAGCTTGAATAGGAAAGTGTAGAAAAACAATCTTTGCCAAATTCCTACTAAAATGTCATTTTCATTTTAGATGACACGCTTACTTCACTTTTATCTGTTTATAAAAAAAGTAGAAACATTTCTTAGAAAAATTTAATATATTTTTATTTTATCTTATTGATAGTATATTTTTGTAAGTTTGACATGATCACAAGATATTACGAGGTTGTTTGATTGAGGTGATCAAAAAATAACTTCACATAAAATTTGACATAAAATAATGGAGTTAGGGGTGTTCATGGTTCGGTTTGGATCGGTTTTTCCCTAAAAAGAAACCAAGCCAAGTAAGTCGGTTTTTCAAATATTAGAACCAAACCAAACCAACTAAGTCGGTTTTTTCTCGATTCGGTCTATGTCGGGTTTGTCGGTTTTTCGGTTTTTTCGATTATTTGTCGGTTTTTTCTTAAATATAAGAGATACACTACCAAACACATATTCCGGCGACCACATTTTCAACGTAACACTATCAAATCAATTGCCCTTTGAGAAATCTATTATTTACTAAGATATATTGATGATAATTGAATCAAATAGTGATGAACAATTTAAGGACTCAATTAAAATATTTTTTTTAACATGAAATGGATTATTACACTTAACAAAAGAAAAATACCAATCAAACTAGAATGTAAAGGTAAAGAATTGTACTAAAAGTGCAAACGATTAACATTTACCATAAAAATTTTGAAACTTTGTATAAAAATATACATATATATAGCTGTAATAATAAATTTGAAATAGCTACTCCTATAGTCGGTTTGGTTCGATTTTTTCGGTTATTTTTTAATTAAAACCAAAACCAACCCAAATTTGATCGGTTTTTAAAATTCAAAACCAAAACCAAACCAAACCATAAAATATTGATTTTTTTGATCGGTTTGGTTCGATTTTTCGGATTTTATGAACACCCCTAAATTGAGTAGTACAATATTTGGTTGCAACAATAATAACAACAACTTACCCAGTATTATCTCACACCGTGGGGTCTGGGGAGGGTAGTGTGTACGCAGACCTTACCCTTATCTTATGAGGATAAAGAGGTTGTTTCCAATAAACTCTCGTCTCAGGAACAATATTTGATTGCAAAGATAATAAAAATAATCGCTCCATAACAAATACTATAATTTTCGTTGGTCATATAAGAAAAATAATATTTACATGGCTTTATAAAGCTTTTGATTGACGGAATTAAATAATCAGGGGCAGACTTAGGTTGGGGGTTGGGAGTTACCGTAACCCGTTAACCTTGGCAAAGAAACTGTATATATTTACATATACAGTGAGGACCTTTTATATATAGTTTATGGGGGGCCCTAAAATCACAAAATCTAGACAAAGAGTTGGTTTGTTGAAGCGCTCAAGTGCCTTCACATGCTTGACGACCTGGGTTTGCATCCAGCTCCTACAACATATATTGAAGTAATCCTTACATTATATTTTATGTATTATTATTATGCTCCGCATCAGGGCCGGCTGGAGCCTAAGGCCACTAAGGCAATGGCCTTAGCCCCCAAAATAGATATGGCCCCAAAATATATGAATAATAATATATATATATATATATATATATATATATATATATATATATATATATATATATTATTTAATAATTATACACTACTGATATAATTTTTAAATCATTTGAGTAAAATAGTTATAGCAAAAAAATTTTACACATCTAAAATTGTAGTTACTAGTTATTTTCTGTCTTTAATTCATCCCAACTTAAATTGATCATCTTATAATTTTAGTTTAAAATAATTTTTTTTATTTCTTTAGGTGCCTTTGTAGACACTTTCCAAACTACTTTGATAAGTAACTATTAAAATCCATCCTTAACATTGAATGACTCTTGAAACATAATAGTTACTATAGTGTTATTTGTTTCAACTTATATTTAGAATTAAAAGTGCTAAGAAAAACTGTATAAGTAGAAAAATACTCTAATTAGCAAACTAAATCAGGTAAAAAGTGTTACTTCATTACCGTTAACAATTTCTATATCAGTTGTCTCGGTTGAAAAAGTTTTTCAAAACTAAATCAATAAAGTTTGATATGATAACACAAGAGAGATTAAACAAATTGGTTAGACATTGACAATAATTAAAACTGAATATAACTTCTTTAAATTTCGATAAATTATAAGAATAAAAAACAATTAAAAAATTTAAGGCCTTACTTTTTATTTTCGCCTTACGCCTCATCTCATATAATGTCAGGCCGCCCCTGCTCCGCATGGGTAGCTCTCTATTACTATTCACCAGTGACCACATCGCAATCCCTCCATTGTTACGTATGAATAAACATAATAACAGAACATTAAAGATGTGAGTAATAGAATTTCTCAATTTAACACAAGATCGGACTTATTTGATCTAATAGAATGATTTTGCCATAAACCAATCACATCGGACCGAATGAAATAGGATGAATTGAAACAGTATTTTGTAAGCACATAATTATCTTGAATATATTAATCATTTCTTTATTTCTCGTTGTTTTTACAAGCATTATAATCCAACACATAATTAACATGCAAACTAAGTGACCCATAAAATTACGTTTGATATGCTATTTCTATATTTAGAAGTATATCTTTTTTTTTTCTATATATATATATATATATATATATATATATTTTTTTTTTGTTTCTGCTAAACTTTCTTCTTAATTAAATAATGTCATATAAAATAAAACGAAGAACAGCATAACATATTTGCCAGCGCAACAATAATCAGCAAATGTGGAAGTCACAAACGTCCACTATTAGGTCAGTTTGGTACGTTTAGAATTTAGATTAGTCAAAAAGTTTGAAATATGCAGCTGTCATCATATGATATGAGGTAGAGTCGCGGAGAGGAAAAAAAAATTCCATTATTTATTCGTAATTATCTTGGCTTCAGCTTGACTTGTGGATCTAAAATTACTACTAGAACGACCACGTTCATATGATAATTTTAAATTTAATGTAGTGATATGCTTTAAGTGGTATAATTCCTATTTTTTAGATTCAATAATGAGTTTTAAGAGAGAGATATTAGGGATGAAAATTTATGCATAATTTAATTAAAAAGATAAAATTTTAAAATAAGTGTATTATATGTAATTTTTGAGAAGCGGTTGTAAATTATTTAAATAAGCCTTAAAAGGTTGTATTCCGTGTAAATTCCTCCAAAATTTGGGGGAGATTAAACGGACGCTTTTTAGTGCGAGTTTCTCTTGGCATTGTCCCAGTGGATGACTGTTGAGGAGGGAGCTCATCCTCAACGTCCAGCTAGGGCTGGGCATATATCGGGTAACACTGATAACCCAAACCGTTAATTATTTATTGGGTTATCGGTATCGGGTTATTGTTTAACAGTTCGGTAACGATTTAGAATTTTTTCACTATTGGATTATTGGTTCGGGCCTCGGGTTGCCAATTTTGTTAATGGGTTAACCGATAACCCAATAAGAATTTATAAGATTACGACTTTACCCTTAAGTATATACATATGCTAGGGCGTCAGTTCATTCTCTCCTATTCTTTTTCAGCCGCACTCTTCAGTTGCTTCATCTTCATTCTTCATAGACCTTAGTAGTTACTCCTAGCGTAAGTCTTTAGTCTTATACATTAGATTTTTAATTTCTATAACAAAATTCATCTTCATATTGGTATTTTTAACTGTTAATGATTCTTTATTTTTATTTTTTCGTTTCTTAATTTTGTGAGCTCACGTTGTGCAGCCTATGACAACTGCCAATTTCTCTTCGCACTTATCAATTCTCAATCGACAATCTTCGTCAGTTTCGGGTATATTTTTGAACATTATTCTTCTGTACAGTACGTTGAGCTTTGACAACAGGACAATATTTTCTTGCCTTCTAGGTGTTTTTTATTTCTGTGTTAGTATTGCCCATGCACAAATCAAGGTTTTGCTCTAAGGTTTCTTTTTTCAGGTTAGGCATTTGACAAACAACATCCAGTTTATCTTGGAATGTTAGTACTATATGTTTTGACTTGTTGATTTTAAGGTGAAATTGCTACTACTTTGGATTATTATTAAAGTATTTGGACAATAGTTGTTGAAGAATTAGTACTACTCCAGTTGTGGTCACTGGACAGAACGCAGAAATGGGTAGTATACTATATGTGAATTCTTCTCTTTTTTGCTTAACTCCAGTGAATTGTCTTCTCTTTTTTGCTTAACTCTAGATTAAGTTATCTTATCGGGTAAACCGATAATGATCGATAACCGATTGACCGATAACTGATAACCGATATGTTATCGGTTAGGTTATCGATTTATCAAATTTGTAAATCGATAACCGATATGCTAAACCGGTAATATTCATAACCGAACCGACCGATACCTACCCTTACGTCCAGCCCAAAACCATTTTTTTCTTGTAGATACGTATTATGGTTTACGAAGTAATTTTCGACCAATAGTTCATAATTTAAACGGGAATGAGCAATTCCACTTAGCTTTTTTTGTAATTCATGTGTATTTCTCGTGATTTTAATTGTTAACGCAAGAATATGCGCGAATTTGTTATGGTGTCATTAGGGGCAAATCTATATGGGAGGGGTGGGTTCACGTGAATCATGATTCCCTCCCTAGACTATGTATATCACTTATATTTTTTTTTTTGACTTTGGTCTTAAATAAGAATGTGTGAACCCATGCTCTAGTGAGCACTTTGGCTCAAATAGTACACCTTTGCCCCCAAGGTTAGGGGTTCAATTCATGCTTGCTTCCTTAGACTTTTTAATTAAAAATGTTTCTAATTCTTTTATTGTTTCCTTTTCTTTCTTAGTTACTTGGCCTTACGTTATTCTTTAAAAAGAGAGCTTTCACAATAATATTCTATGAAATGTGATATTTTGATTCCATCTTTTTCTCTTGAAGATCTTACCACTGATAATAGTAGGCTGTAAGTGTTTGTTGAAAAATAGAACTTCAAATTGAAAGATTAATCTCTAAAAAAAGGTTTACATTTTATCAAGAAATGAA